CCCATTAATCTGAAATAGTTCTCTGCCAGTGTTTTTTGTTTTGACAGTGCACTGACTTCATATAGTCTGTCAGTGACTAGTGACATTAACACTTTTGATGGGTTTAATGGATACTAAAGATTGTTCTTGTGGAATGAGCAAAAGCTTTGAAATCAGAAGGCTTAAAGTCCATTTTGTTAAATATGTGATTCCTAAAAAAGTCATTAATATGATTTTCTATTTTATGACGTGCAAACCATTAGGTAGATAGAAATATATAGACATCTGTGACATTGTTTTTATATTTATTGTTTTATACCCAAAGGATTTTTATATACATGTGCAATTTCATTTATAACGAAGCCATTTAATGAATCTTTCTGGCATATCTTAAAATGAGCAGAATTAAGTTTTAGTTTTCTGTCAGATATATTTATGCTGAGCTGGGTTCTTTGTTTCTATATGCTTCTTGGTCTATTTTAATGATTGATACTATGAATTAAATGAGGAAAATTTATTTTTCCTGTAATAAGCTGTTATTTTAGGCCAAACTTATATAGCCAACTATGGAAACAGAAATACTCTACCAAGCAAATGTTCACATTTTATTAGGCAGGAATTTCATCAATCCTAACACATTTGCTTGTGGCATTTAATGGTCAACCCTTGGCTTTAAAAAGAAATGTCATTTGACCAGAATAGAAGTTAATTAGGGACTTGAGTGTCAGTTTTCTCCAAGTCATGACTAGCTGGTCTTCTGCCACAAGAAAGATCACCATCAGCAACTATTTGTTTTAGTTCCCAAGATAGACTATTTAAACATCTAAAGTTCAGTGTTATGCTTTATCATGAGATTTGCTGGATTAAAACTTATTTTGTTAATTTCTTTATGAACAAAGATGGTAACAATAGTGCATTTCATAACTGTATTTTCAGATTTCCAAGCTAAGGATATAAAATTTAGCAAATTTTGAGCTTCAAAAAACCTTTTAAAATACACTTTTCCTTCACCTCCCTCCCTCCTTCCTCTCCTCCCTCCATACCTCCTTTCCCTCTCTCCCCTCCTCCTTTCCTCCTTTCCTTCCTTCCTTTCTTCCTTCCTCCCTCCCTCCACTCATCCCTCTTTTCCTCCTTCCCTCGCTCCTCACCTGAGGATATTTTCATTGATTTTTTTAGAAAGAGAGAAAGATTAGTCAGTTGCCTCCCATACACACTATCATCTGGGATCAAACCTACAACCTAAGTATGTGTCCTGACCAAGAATTGAACCCACAACTTCTGTTGTACAGACAATGCTCCAACCAACTAAGCCACTACAGCCGGGTCACTTTTTTTTATTTCATATATAACTAAAGGATGACCCCCACCCCCAAAAAAATGCATACACACTTTAACAGCTGATAGCTCAATTTTGAAAATAAAATGTATTTTAATAAACATTGCCTTTATAATTATTCAAAATATGTGTACCCTATAAATGTCTTTAAGTTTCTAAAACTATTTATGAATTGTGTGACAAATGGCACTTACTTTATAAAATTACTGTTTAAAAAATATATTAGAAATAGAGCTAATTTGGACTTTCCTCCTTGGAGGAGAATTGTCTTATGGTTTGTTGCTGTTGCTCATCCCTCTTTAAATTTTTTTCTAGAAATAACTGAAATGATTACTGTCATTGTGGCTAATTATGGGTTATGTTTATATCATAAGCCACGTGATTCTGGGTCAGATCACGTTAGTTGTACTTTCTCCTGCTCTCTAGAATAGAGAACAGCATGGTAGTGTTGGAGCTCCTGCCTTAACAACTGTATTTCCAGCCGAAACCGGTTTGGCTTAATGGATAGAGCATTGGCCTGCAGAATGAAAGGTCCCAGGTTCTATTCAGGTCAAGGGCATTTGCCTTGGTTGCAGGCATATCCCCATTAGGGGTTTGCAAGAGGCAGCTGATCGATGTTTCTCTCATCAATGTTTCTATCTTTCTATCCCTCTCTCTTCCTCTCTATAAAAACTCAATAAAATATTAAAAACAAAACAAAACAAAAAAAAAAACTATTTCCTTGTGGCTGAATATCCCCCAGCATGTTTTTTTGTTTGTTTGTTTTTTGTGTGTTTTTTTTGGTGTGTGTGTGTGTGTGAGTGTCTGTGTGTGTGTGTTTTGTTTTATTTTTTGGGGGGAGATAGAGAACAATCCTTCTTTTGTGCACAGTGAAAGGAAAACTTTTTAATATTATTCTCCAAGACATAAAGGCATTTTAGAGTTCTAATATTTTTAAAAATATATTTTATTGATTTTTTTACAGAGAGGAAGGGAGAGAAATAGAAACATAGATGAGAGAGTCATCAATCAGCTGCCTCTTGCATGCCCTCTACTGGGGATGTGCCCACAACCAAGGTACATGCCCTTGACCAGAATCGAACCCGGGACCCTTTAGTCTGCAGGCTGACGCTCTATCCACTGAGCCAAACCGGATTCGGCAAGTTCTAATATTTTTTTAATCTAAAAAGTATTTAACTTATTTTTATTTTATCCAGTATTTTCTTTAAATCCACAAAATACTTAAGTTTATTGTGTGGCCCATACATATGAACGTTCTGCTGTTAAAAATATTACCTCATATTACCTGTTAAAAATGAGGGACAACTTACACTTTGAATTTGTCAAGAACATCACTTCATGTTTATCTTCTCATTCTGCCTTTTTTTTCTTATCTTCCACACTGAGGTTTTCTGATAAAGAAATTGCTTACATTTCCATTTCATTTGCTGCTGTCTTATTCACTCCCCCCACCCCCCCACTATATTTCCACACTGATTTTGAGTTTCCAAAGTAGTGTGATAAAATGTTACTGAAGGATATGCATTCTTTTAACTTTGTTGTTTAGTGATTTGTTTCTTTGTAGGGATAAAGACTAAAGAACCTTTTTCTGTTTACTCTCTCTGGTACAATTTCTAATGTTTACTGGCTCCTATTACATCCCATTTGTGCCTGGTGGCTGATGGCCGAAACCTTTGTCATTTAAAATTGCTGGACAATTTTCCTCTTAATTCAGTTTAGGGACTCTTAAATTGAGATCTCCCATTAGCCAATATTTTATAGTCATGGATAATACCTACATAATAGTTAGAAAAATGAACAGATTATATTAAATAGCAGGGAAGAGAGGTCAACACACCAATATAAAATATTGCTCTAAAGGTTCTTTCCATTATCCAGTGTAATCTGACTTGCTAAGAAGAGCACACACTGAAGCATAGTTCATTGTGAAAGATTAAACACATGAGCCAGTGAACCACTAGGAGATTTATACTTTTTATGAACCTAACCTGATAATTTCCTCTTATTAAATGAGTATAATGCATTCACACTTATTATGTAGGCTGTCCCCCTAAATGTGTACACACTTTGAATGATCATAAAGCCATTGTTTATTAACATACAGTTCATTTTCAAAATTTAAATATATATTTTTATTGATTGCAGAGAAGAAGAGAGAGGGAGAGATAGAAATATCAATGATGATAGAGAATCATTGATTGGCTGTGTGTGGAGGTATGGGGTGTGGGGGAGGGCAGGGGTGGCCACAGATGCACACACTAAGCTATTTTCTCACATGGACACAGAGTGCAAATAGATTCATAATTACTCTTCAGAGTTATAGCTGTAACACATACCACTTCCTATCTGCCAAGCACTGTGTATGTTGTAACTCATTTAATCCTTTGAACAATCCATGAAGCAGATTCTCACATTATTCACATAATAAAATGGGAGGAGAAACTTAATTTTTTCCAAGTCTGTACAGCTAGTATGCAGCAGGGTTCGTATTTAAGCCCAAGTAGTCTGGTTTAATCTCTGTATTCTTAATTACTAAATGTTCCTGTCTTTTGTAAAAGCTTATTACAAGGAGAACATAATAGTAGCACCAGGAAATGCAAAGAGGAAAAAAAAAACAAAAACTAAACACCAGAGAAGGAAAAAAAGAATCTACCTACAAAAAGCGATTGTGATAGCTTGCTACTCCTCACAGGTTATCTCTGAAAGAACTGTTCAGAGTGTTCTTCAGCGAGGTGGACATTCTCACATCGCTGTGGCTTTTGGTAAAATAACAACAACGAAATATGATAGGAACAAGGTGCCTAGTACAATGTTTAGTGTATATTTAATGACTTGTTAATGTCATTTCCTTTCTGCTCATATAGAAATACTAGAGGCCTGATGCATGAAATTAGTGCAAGTGTAGGCCTTCCTTCCCCCAGCTGCCAGCCCTGGCTTCCCTCTGGCACCGGGGACCTGGACTTCCCGCTGGCCACCCACTAACACCCAGGCTTCCCTCGCAGCCAGCCCCAGCTTCATCTGGAAGGTTGTCCAGAAGGATGTCCAGTCTAATTAGCATATTACACTTTTATTATTCCAGATATTCTGTTCAGGAATGTACTAACAGCAACCTACCAAGATTAAACTACTCTCCTGACTGAAGCTTTTTCTAAAAACTAAAATGTTAGTATTTATTTTAAAAAATATATTAATTGATTTTAGAGAAGAAAAAAGGGGAGGGAGAGAGAGATTGAAACATCACTGATGAGAGAGAATAATTGATAGACTCAATTATGCATACCCCCTACTGGGGATCAACCCCAGGAACTGGGTATGTGCCCTGCAGGATGGAACCATGGTCTTCGGTTCATAGGCTGATCTCTGAGCAACACTGCCCAGGTTAAAATATTAGTTTTTGATAGAAAGCTCTTGAAGGGGACCTTATTGCCCATGATGGCAGAGCCAATGAACATCATGGTATTCAAGAGTAGTGTGTTACTTATATTACTAAAAAGGTAAATACCTGTACTGTTTATCAACTTCAGTAAGTTATATTACCTAAACATTTAGACTTTATGAATCATAAACAAGGAGTCACTCCTGTTTTTTTTTTATCTTCATAATTGATTTGAAAACCCAAAGACTATATTACGATTACATATTCATGGGGTCATTTGCATTCTAAGATTTATTGTTTTCTTTTCAGCGCCTGGCTTTGGAAGCAGAGAAAGTTCAAGCAGCCCACCAGTGGCGGGAGGATTTTGCAGTAAGGACCCTTTTATTTTTCTTTCTTTTTTTTTACCAATTGCTTTGTCTTTATAGTTATGATTCCATTAATATGATTTGTGTTGAAATCATATGGTTTATAGGACCAACATAGAGCCATAGTTTGTTGCTTTAAAAAATTGCTTTTGTATTAATCAGGGCCAATTAAATTATTCCAAATGTTCCTGCTTATGTTCCATAATTTTTTTTTAAAGAAGAGTTCATTCAAGTGTTCTTTCATACTCAAAGGTATTTATAAAATTAATTACAGCAAAATATAACATTACATTACAATATCTGAATAAACTTTGTAGGTATATCAGTTAAAAAACAAGTGGCATTTTAAAGTTTTGAGTTTGTGAGACAGGACTTGCATATGGAAATCACCTTTATAGTAGGCAATGTGATTAAAGTGAGAATAAATGTATTAAACGTCTTGAAATTTAATTTGCTCCATGTTAGCTGGAAGTTATCTTTCATCGACTCTAGCCCACTTTTAGAAATGCCAACTTATATTAACTTTTTCATGTATTTTATTTTATAAACTTATTTTGTTCTCCAAGAATCATTGTGCTAATTATACAAATAGCAGAAATTATTCTTGTATTGATTTCTATCCATTTATCTACCTATCTATCATCTATCATTTATCTATAATCTGTGTATATACCTATATGTCTTCTTACAGCTAAGGGGCACAGTGAAAAAGTCTATTTCTAATAGTCAGTTAAAAATGCTACATATTTGAACTTTTCATTTACATTGAAAATTTTTTTACATTTGATAACAGAAAAATTGTAGACAATTCATTTTGAGGATGTTAAAATATGAACCAAGTATGAGTGACAGTTTGATTGTACTGTTCAGTTGTCTTTGAATGTTTTGCAAACCAAAATCTCAAATTTGAAGCTTAAAAAAGTTGTGCTTCAACAGAACACTAAATCACGGTTCAGTAATTAGCAAGTTTTCTTTGTGTTTGTATGATTATACTGTATATGAAAGGAAAATATACTTATTTATTGAACTCTTAGTCTACTAAGTGGAGACTCAGTACTGTCAGGTTGATTTTTTCCATAAATTGATCTGTTGCTTGATTTGTTCGCATCATTTAGATACTTGTTTGATTGGTCCACAGTTGTTTGACATAGGTAGTTTAAAAATGATCAAGGTGTCATCCATAATACATAGAAAAAATAATTAATGATTAAATTTAAAAAGATAACCTTTTGGTAATGAGGGCAAATTATAAACTCATCCAATGCAGATTTTACATTGTAATTGTTACTTTTTAGTTAAAAGGATACTTGAATATTTTGTTTCTTGATTAGACAAAAATGCAGCCAAACTAATTTATCCAAATGTATTCTTTTGATTAACTAATCTTCAAACCCTTCTCCTTCCACCCGTTTAGGTGACATAATAAAGTCTGGTGTAAAACATAATAGAGGTGAAGCTGAACTATATATTCTGCCTAGGATTGCTGTAGTAAACTTGGTGCTGTTTTAGTTTAAATCACAAGTAATTCTGAGCATCCCAAAACCAAGTTTATCCAGATCAGTTTTTTTGATAAATATATATATATATATATATATATATATATATATATATATATATAGAGAGAGAGAGAGAGAGAGAGAGATATTACATTGCTTTCAAAAAGATTTTCTTTGAGTTAAAGGAATTTAATAATATTTTACATAGTCATTTATTAGTTTATGTCATTTTTAGATTTCTAAGGAACAATGTGTTAGAAAATAATTTGGCAAGTAGGGATGTAGTAATACCTTTGTAGTATTGGTGTTGATTTATTCAATTATTATGTTACTGTTCTATGGATATAAGGTTTTCCCCCCCAGATATATTGTGAACTTTTTTATATCAAGCTAAATTAACACTAAATTAACATTTTTACAATGATTTATTTCTCCTTATGGAAATAATAGTTTAATGCTGGTGGGTGATATCCAGCATCTAGAAGGGTTCAGGAATCTGTGGTGTAAATTAATAAAGAGACTAGAAATATAATATAAATTTGTAATCCATGGGGGAGCCAGAGGAGGGCTTAGCTTCAATAATCAAGTTCTCCGAATCTCTGGACCCCTAGCTTTTTATTAACACAAATTGCCCTAACGCAAAGTAAATATACATATCAAGGCAAGGTTTAGTATACAGTAGACATTGTTAGTTTTGGGGAACTGCCTTCAGCTGTCCAGGTGTTTGGCCAGCAGGAGGCAATAACATGTAGATTAAAATGCTCTTAGCTGTTTGGCAACAGGCAATAATATATGCAAATCTTTAGGTGTGGGGAAATACCCTTAGCTATTCCAGCAATAGGTAATATGTATTCAGCCCTGCTGAATCCCCAAGTTCCATCAACCTTTTGATGAAACTTCTTGCATTTATGACATTCTGGAATTAGTTTTCGGCAATGAGTAACCATTGTAAGTGTCACAAAAACTTTCAATGTGTGTTAGCTATTCTATATTTTATTGAATTCAAACCATAATTATTTGTAAGGCACTCTATCATTTATGTATTGCTAAGAAAGAAAAAGAAGGCAATTAAATTTTGATGTATCAGTAATTTGAAGCTGTATTTTTTCTTGTCAGATGTCAAAATGTGGAAAAAATTACCTTGAAATGTAACTCATATTACCTACTTTCTCATTGTCTATATTCAATGAGAATCACTGCTAGGAAAATTTATGCAAGAGGACAAATTAGTCCCATAAGGACACAAAAGACATTTTTACATTTTATAGGGTAAAATGGAAAATAAATAGTTTACCCAGCAAATGTTAAGAGTTCTTAGCAAATAGTAGTCACAGTGTGGAGAATTCTTGAATAAATTCTGTTCTTAATTTCCCCCTAGATTACTTCACAATTTATTTAGGAAATATGAAGATTTAGAGTGACATTAAAAGAGATTGTTAAAGGGAAAACAGATTAGGCCACTTTAGAGCCCTGCCAACTCATTTCCTGAGTTCTTCTTGAAAGACTGTGAATGCTATTCAGGGGACACGTGCCTGTCAGTTTGCACACTGAGAATTCATATTTTCCATATCTTACCATGTCAGTCATACAGAACGTCTTTATAAGAGGCCTTCCCTTTGAAATATCATGGCTGATAGAATGGTCAGATAGTGGTGGTTTTGTATTTGAAGAATAGGACCTGAATAAAGATTACCTAACCTTCAGACTCAAATAAGTCAATATTGCAAAAATAAGACACTGTCCTTCTTTTCCTTTTTTTTTTGTTGTTGTTGTTGTTGTTGTTTGTCGATAAACTAGATGATGCTTCAATTCATATAAAGTAAGGCTAAGCAACTCCTTCAAGGCTAATTATACAAATCAAATTAAAATTTGTGCCTGGCTGTGGTTGGGAATTAGAAATCATCACCATGAAGCCTCCCCTTATGTTATGGCAGCTCACAAAACAATTACAGATTTTATCAGTGTCTTAACTAACCACTTAAACATGTTTAATTTGAAGTTAAATGCCACCATATTTTTAAAAGTCCTTCTTTGAGAGTATATAAGACTTTTATCTTTTGAGGTATTTAACTATTTGCATCAGTGCAATATTTCTTTAATGCCATCCTTCAATAATTTAACATTAAGATGATTTAGAAGGCAGAAATAATTTCCTAAGAGGTACATTAACATTTCAAAAAGAAATATAATATTCTGATTCTTCCCTCAAGTCTAAGTAGGCCAGTTTTATTAATATTAGGCAAAATGTTGATTAATTTTCCCTACTGTGTAATGTAGAGAGAAGTCTGATAAGCAACAAGAACAAAAGGCAAAGTACTAAAATGCTGGCAACAGGAAACAGATCATGTAATTCACACTCTCCCTCAGCTCAATTCCCAATTGAATGTACAATTGGGGAACAGAGGGCATACACTCTAAATGGATTAAGAGTTGTGCGGTCATGCATCTACAAGTTCAGAGCATATTTGTAAATAAGCCATGTCTAGCGCCAGCTGCTTTTCAAGTCTCCTTACAACATATAAGTGTTAAAGGTGACATTTCCGGTCATTGATGACAGACGAATTATTATTATTATTTTTTAAGAGCAGGTGGGGAAGGAAAAAATAATTTGGAAAACTAATTGCTCCACATGAAATAGTGCTGCCATTTCTATAGAACTGATCTTTCTAATTGCATTAGAAATCTTATTTGACTGTATTGCAATGGTTGGTTAACTATAATAGTCTTATCTCCAACTAAGCCTGTGATATTAATTGTACTTACATATGTATAAACATGAGGGGGGGGCTAATTTGTATTTTAATAAGAAGGATTTTTATGTATGGGTTATTAGCATCAGCTTGTTACTGTGTAGGCTTAGTTCAGACGTCTAGAAATTGGCCAGTAATTAAACCTTAGAGGAACTGTTTTTGCTTCAACTTCACAGAGAAACTAAATTAGAAGGTGAGAAATTTTCTAGTGAAATTAAATGTTATTGAGTGTCAATCAGGATACATTAGCTTCAATTATATATATGGGGATGGATAAAAGTAGGTACAGTTGTGAGTATGCTGAACAGAGTTAATAAAGCTATTGTAATAATCATAACTTGCATATGTCTTTTCGTGCAAATAACTAAACCTACTCTTGCCCATCCGTGTGTGTGTGTGTGTGTGTGTGTGTGTGTGTAATCACTTTGCCCAAATCACATTCTGCAATGTTGCTGTAAAATAGTAATATTTAACATTTTCTGTTTATATGAATTAAAATACTGTTTTATGTGTCTATTTCATCTATCCTATTCATCCCATGGAATTGGATTATTTTTATTGATTGCAGCAAAACAGTTATAAATATGTGAGCCATAAAAACATACTTCATTTTTTTTTTGTTATAATGTATAAAGATAAACACTACTCTAAATTATAATATGGTATAGGTCCTGGATATGAAAGAGCTGAATTTTTAGTGATCAAATAGTGGGGGAGTAAAATAAAAGTGGGAAAGCAGTGTTCTGTCTTATGTTGTA